AAAGCTGCGGAGTTGCAGAAGACCCGGACGACCTCTAGACGGTAGGTCTTGAGGAAGACGGAGCCCATGGACGACTTAAGAAAGGTCCTGCGCCCTTCCTCGAGCCCCGCCTCCTCTAGGCGGTAGGTCTCGAGGAAGACGGAGCCCATGAGCGACTTAAGAAAGTTCAAGCGCCCTTCCTCGAGTCCCGCCTCCCTCTCAACTAGTCTGTCCTCGTGGGCTTTCTCAAGCTCAATCTTCAGCTCCTCGACTTCCTTCAAGGCGGCTTCCTTCCCAGTTTTCAGTTTAGCAACCAAGGCCTTCGAAGCCTAGTTATCCTCCTTCTGCTCCTCAAGCTTCTTACGATGTATAGCATACCTTGACTTCCAATTTTTCACATTGTTCTTAGGAGAAGATGTTCCCTCGAGCAATTTGGGAAGCATGGAAGCTATAAGCAGGACGAAGAAAAAGAGTTAAACAAAAACCCACAAACATACAATCAACTAAATCAAAGAAGTGATAAAGGAATATCCGAGATAGATTGAGGACAGCATAACAGGAAACGTCATAAGGGTTGCCTGAGACACGAGCCTTGTCGGACTCGGGAAAGATGGATTCGAGATACTTGGTGACAGAGTAGGCATCAGGATTGTTGTGGGGACGAGACGGCGGCTCCACAATTATCTTTTTTTGTGGTGACGGGGGAAGGGGGAGGTTTCTCGACCATTTTCTCCTTATCCTTATCCTACTACTTCTGGCGCTTGAGGTCGTCGGGGACGAGGGTGACGTCCCTCTAATCTTGGGCTCTCTTACGAGAGTGATAGCCCGATGATTTAGGAAGAGAAGCAGAGGGAGGCTTCTCGACCCGCGACCTCTTCGCGGCAGTTTGCTCAATTAGGGCCTTGGAGGCCGACCCAGAGCCACCATCAGAGTCTTTCGTAAGGGCGTGACAACCAGCAGTTTTGTCGTCCCCCTTGGTTTTCTTGGTCTCAAAACGGGCCAAAGCTTTGACTGAAAATACAAAAAGAAATTATCAGCACAAGGAAATCATCAAATCAATAGTCGAGAACCATAACTTATGCGCAACAAAAGAAACAAAAGACGAGCAAGAAACACTCAAAAATAACTAGTAGAATATCAACAATAAGTATGGACACAACTTACGAGAGTCGTCATTACGAGGAGTACTTTCGTCAACCCAAAGGCCCACATGGTTAAGGAGAGCACTATCCTTAACCAACAAACGAGCACTCCAAGTACACTTATTTAAATCGTCGAGCATGGATTCAAATTGGCTCGACCGAGGGCATTTATTCTGCTTGACCTTCTCGGTTATCCAAACGTTCATGAAGGGGTATCGGCCGAGAGTGGGTCGGACATAAAAGTACTTCGTTTTCCATTCGGTGACGTTCGAATAAAGATCTTCGAGGAAAGTAACACCGTGATGACGACCCAGATAATAGGCGTCCTTTATGAAGCGGTAACTATAGCAGTAGAGAAGAAACTCGGGCAAGAAACGACCAAATTTTATTTTGGAGATAATAATGATAGCTACCATGATACGGATGGAGTTGGGTGAAAATTGATTTATAGGAACATTGTACAAATTACTAATGGACAGGAGTTCAGGCTGAACTGGGAAATGCAGGTCGAACATTATTTGGTCGACAAAAAATGTATAACAACCTTTAGGAGGACGAGAAGACGTCGTCAGAACGAGGAGCAATCAACTCCCAATCAGAGGGAAGACCACTGAATGACCTGAATCCCTCGATTTCGGCTACAGAGGCATAAGAAAACAGATTTAGAACAACTAATTTAACTAATGGAAAGACTGGTTACATTTCGAGGCTGGAAAACAGGAGCTATTATTGATACAAAAATATGACTCGTTCTATATATAGGAATGTCTAGAAGCCTAAGGGGAATACCTTGAGGAATATGGTTAAGTTGAGGAGAGTCGCTACCTCGACAGGGATCTTCCTTATTTTGCATCAAGTCACCTGATAGAAGAGCTTGATCGTACTCGTCCCGGTTAATCCCAAAATTCGACACAGACGAACTCTGAGACATCTCTTGCTCAACTGCCGTCTTAGAGCCAATTATTTGGATAGAGTCAGAGTCCGAATACTCTTCAATCTGACGAGCAAGAGAGCCGAAAAAACAGCCCGAGATATAGTCAGATTCAGAATCTATTGGAAAATTTGAGAAGTGATGATCAGTACATGAGAACAAAGTATCACAGAAATACGAAGACGCATCGACTTGTGAAAAATTTTATAACTGCAAGACGGTTTCAGAAGAAACGGTCAGTCGGGATTAAGGGCATAATAGACGAAGAAAAAGCTCCCAGCTCGATTCAATCCAACCAAAAAAACGAGGAAGGATTAAAAATTAAAAAGAGCCCTGGGAAGAAATAGGCATGGAAGAATGTGCAGTAAGTCGACAGGGTTCGACATACGAAGAAATTTGAAGTCGATCTTACATCCCAAAGTTGACTCGCCAACAAACACAACTCAGCAGTGAGAGATATGCATGAAAGATCTAACACTAACTTCCCAGAAGCATTTGAAGATTCTCAAGAACACGAAGAACACTCATCAACCCCAAACCAAATACCCAGAAAATAAACAAAAAATTTCAAAAGTATGAAATTGATAGGACTTACACATATTGACTGGCGCAAGATGTCCTAAAAGTGCTGAGAAGGTTGTCGGATAATACGTGCGCTGGAGAAAGCGAAAGATTTATTGCCGGAGAATCTGAGATAGCCTGAGGGATGGAAGAATTGGAAAAAAGTGGAGAGAATGGGAGACAGAAAATATTTATAAGATGGGTGATGAAATCCTAACCCTCAGAAGAAAGTGGAAATTGACGGCCAAGATGATGCACGAAATTCGAAGCTAGGCAAGAGAAAACCTGAGGCGGCGTATCACATCCCAATTTAAAATTTGAAATTCAAAATAAGAACAGCAAGCGTTAGGGGCATATTCGAGAAAAAAATCCTGAGTGCAAGATTAGACTATGAAATGTTCATAATAAGCGAGACGAGTTACCGATAAGGAGATTGTCTATGACGAGACGATTGAAGATCAATCATGGCGATCAACGAGCTTAGCCATATGGAAATCCAATTGCGAAGCTACAAAATCACCAAATATACTCTTAAGCTCTAGTCGCTTAGAGTAATTTGGGGGGGAGGGGGGGTTGGACTAGATGATATAGCCATATTAACATATAATGGCTCAAGTGCTAATTGCTCAACCGGATATCGGATTTGGTCGAGTCTATAGCCGCAAGTCGATTCCATAAGTCGACTTCAACAAAGGCGACTCCTCTCACATACCGCCTACCTCCTTCAGTGCGCTGACGACTCCAAGACGACTTCCGTAAGTCGAAGGCGAGTGGGCGTAGTGTAGTCTCCAAGCGCCCACATTTGTCCTAAGTCGACTTGACGATTACTCGAAGTCGACTCTTTATATTAAGATCTCCGGCGACTCATAACACTTCAGCATAGCACAAGAAAACCCCACAAGGGTGAATCTTTATGGGATAAGAAGGAATCTAGATGCTGACTAAGAGGTGGATGGAATGCGAACCGAATAGGATATTTTGGACCCTTCACGTAAGTCGGCCGGGGCATTTTGGGTAACTCAACTAGATATTTCCTCCTATACAAGGAAGTCGAGGTAACCTGAAACCCTAACTTCATTCTCATTATACACTCCATATACTCTTCTGCTGCTGCTCTCTCAATAGCAGCTTCTCTTCTCTCTTTCATATACTGACTTGAGCGTTGGAGGCTCTATGCGGGAAACACTTATGCGGCGGTCTAAGGACGATTTCGGGGACGGTTCAAATGGATCGGAGCTCATTACCACCAGTTCACTCCAGATCTAGGAGAAGACCCATCAATATTAATAGGTCAACCATTGTATAAATAACTGACTAAAAAAATTGCATCTATGTTTGTGTGTATATATATATATATATTACAAATAAAAAAGGAATGGCTTAATTAATAAATTTTTAAATACGATAATTGATATAAATTAAACCTAAGATATTTATTAAAAATTGAATTTTTATATATTAATTAAAACAATTCAACCGGTTCGACCACTAGTCCGACCAGTAAACCATTGAAGTGATAGCTTTAGCAGTTCGATGACTGTTTCAGTTTTCAGAACCTTGCATTAAACATATCTTTTTATTATTGTTTTAATAATAACTAAACTAATTCAAAATTTATATATTCAACCATTTATTCTAAGTCAAGAAACATGGATTCTTTTAATAGTTAAAATATTTCATTCTTCCCGAGAAACTCTACAAATGTAATAATACTTGATAACAATGCATAAAAATAAGGAAAAAAGCTATTGCTACAACTTTTTTGTACAACATTCGATGACAATATGATGTGTTATAATGTGAGTGGTTGAGATGCAAATAAATGTATGGTTAAGATTTGATTAATGATACTTTTAACTATGTTGATGTTGTAAACTACAATTGTACATGTAGCATTGGTAATAAAAAAAGTTTCAACCTTTCCAAATTTGGCTGAAAAAGATTGGGTGGGAAAATGTGCTCTGGCTATTTTCAGAGATGGCTAAATCCCTTGAAGTAGTTGAGGCCTTGAGGGTATGAACCCAATTTATAATTGAGAGGAACAAAAGCCCTGTAGGAATGCCGAAATCTTATTTCTGATAACACAATGAACATCTAGACACAGAAAGCACAATCAACAACATATTTATTTGTAGCAACAGTACAAACAATATAAAAGCAGAAAGTGAATATGCAGCGAGATACACTGGAAACATTTCTTAATCTGTCCGGAAGATGATATGTCACAATCATCACTGCTCAACACAAATATCCAAATCAAGTAAAAGTATGGACTTAAGACAAAGCAAAATATGTTGGACATGCATTTTCTTTTAGGTCCACTGAGAAGTCCATGAAAATAAAGGGAATAAATAAACAAAACAAAGACAATTTTTGAACCATTCTTGTCACTCGGCTGATCCATCTGTTTTGTGGTCGGCAGCACAACACCCGCCACCATGGTGGTGGTGGTGGTGGTGGCCATAGTGCTTCCTTCCATTCAGTTGCTTCCTCATATCATAAGCATCCTCTCCATCTGCATAATACTTTGCCTCCACATCATGAATCTTGTACCCTAAAGTCCCAGTGTACAAGTTAAATGCAGCTTTGTTGCTTTTCCTGACGTGCAGAGACACATATTCAGCTCTATACACCTGTGTACAAACCAAAATTAGTGAAAATTAGCTGCACTGCACAACAAAGTTAGCGTCTTTATGTTAATATGAACTTAAAGTTCATGTAAAAACAACTCAGATTATTTGAAAGCTCTACAGTAACCGTTGCAAAACATAAACGAACATTTCTTCATAAGACGCTCAAGAACCCTTGTCAACTATATTTTGAAACATATTCAGCTTCCAAGATATCTCTGAGATAGTTTGATCATCAGTACATTCAACAGACTTTATTTTTTTATTTAAGGATGTTGCATTTGTATACTTTGTTAATGAATTATGAATGGTACTTCAAGCTCTCACAACATTTTCCTAGCCTCAACATCAAAGTACATAAATGGCAACAGTATTCTTCTATTTCTTTAGAGAAGACATTCCTACATAAAAACTGCATTTAATGACTGCAACAAAAACATTAAAATTATAATCAATCAACTTTCGAAGTAGTAGATAGTTTTCATCAATTTCCTTTTACCCAATCCACACGGAGCTCTACTTTTACATGGATAGTTTACCATAGTATCTCAGCATAAGTGTAGAACTTGTCTTTACATCACACTCCAAAACGGTTTCGCAAGTGTTCAAGCAATTTATAACAAGATATCCAAAAATGTTGTGAATTAAGCAACCTAAAGCTACATTACTCATACCAACAACATCAAAAACTAAACAAACAATCCAAACAAAGTTGTATAGCTTAACCATAAGGCAATAATAGCAAATACCACAGCAATCCCACCTGACCTGGGCCAGCAAATTAAAGGGGATACCTAATGATGATTCTTCCTCAGCATTCTCATAGCACACAAATACAAACACAAATTGAATCCACAAAAATGAATTAACGGACCTCAATATAGGCATTTCGGCATCAGCAAGGTTCAATTTTTTTTCCTTTTTAAGAAAAAAAATTTCATGAAATTGAGATACCGCATATTGAAATTGACAAAAACAAAAGGAAAAAAAGAGACAAAAATGTATCGAACAATGCACCTGCTCCATGGCGTTCTGAGCGGCAGTCATGAGCTTAGTGGCGAGGCCGAGCTTGCGGTGAGTCCTGAGGACGGCGAGTGAGGTTATGTGGCCGTGGCACTCTGTGGATTCCTCCTCCATCTTTGCCAGAACATAACCGACAATCTTGCCGTTGTAATCCTCGGCGACGTAGAGGAGCTGCGGCCACGAGAGAATGTGATATAGATAGTATTTCATCTGGTAATTCTCCGGTAGGCAGAACAGATTGCATTCCTGCATCGCCAGCAGGTCATCCACCGTTGCTTTCCTGATGCAAACCATTGTGGTAGTGAATTGATAGCGTCACACAATTTGGGAGCTAGGGTTTTG